ACCAGAAAGCGTTCGTCGGTGTATCACTTACCTCCATCTCTGACCATTCTTCCTCACATGCACTCGACTGCTGCTGCCCCCTCTTGACCGCAGACCACTACACGTCCTCTCTCATGTCCTCCAATTATGTCCAGAGTAAGTTGAAAGAGTTGGGTTGCTCGCTGTCTGCTGTCTTGTGCCACTCACTCACTGTCAAGCCAACAAGTGACCCAAGCAATCGCACACGTACTTCTTTCCCATTCACGTACGTACATGTATCACAACAATCACGTGTGCACATCCGCACCGCACGCCTGCAGGTCTGCTACGCGACACGCGGGCGCTGATTGACAACGGCATGTCGATGATTCTGTCGGCGTATCCAGAACTCGAAATGCACACGCACACACACGATGCACAGCAGCAACAACAACAGCAACAGCAGCAACAGCAGCAACAGCAGCAGCAGCAACAGCAACAACAGCAACAGCAACAACAGCAGCGCATGTCGCAACTGCGAACGCGTGCAGCGACGCTGCTGAACAGGCTTGGTCGGGGAAGTGTGGATGGAGAAGGAATGGGCATGTCAGCACACACGCACACGCCCTCGCAGGCGACCGGCAGGAAGGACCCGTTTGCTGGTGATGCGAGCGATGATGACGGTGATGGCGACGATGGTGACGATGGTGGAGAGGATGAGCGCGCAGCCGATGCTGGCGATGATGATGATGAGTGGGACGTCAATGAAGTCGTGCGAGAGCAGCTGGAGGCCTTTGTGTTTGACGAATCAGGTGTGTATGCATGTGTCTGTGTGTGTATCATGTGGTTGTGAAGGAAGGACCACCATGATGACTAGATTATGTGCATTCAGGGTGTGCTTCGCTTTCTCACATTGATTGTTTTGTGTGTTGCATCCATCGTTTAGTGTGGGCCACCCTGCGTGTGTTGTCGCCGGAAGATATGCACGTGAAAGAACAGCGTCTTCGTGCAAAATGCGAGGCCTACATCCCTGTCCCGATTCAGGTGTGTTTGCATCGCTTGTGTCTACACGCACACGTGTGCACAGATATGTGTGTGTGTGTATGTGTGTGTGTGAACATGCAAGCGATTACGCATGTGTGCAAGCATGACGCCGTGCATTTCTCTGGCTGACATTGACACTGCACGTGTACACTGTGTGCGCAGGAAAGTCTGCTGAGCGACAACCTTCGCCTCCTCCCCGATCCCGAACACCCACCTCCGGTAAGCACGTACCACCACCACTGCCCATCACCACAGGCATTGCCATCACCACTGTCACTCACATGTCCTCCTCTTCTTCCTCCCTCGCCTGCGATTCGTGGATGGTTCCGACAAGGGCTTTGAGCCGTACAGCGCAGCCGTTTCGCTGCTGCATCACATGCCGGCCGCCTATTCCCCGACGAAGAAGGCCAAGGTCCTCTGCGATGTCGCCCAGGCAGCCGTCGATGCCGTCGAAGCATTTGCAAAGCACCACAAGGACAAGGTAGTTTGTGCGGGAAAGGGTGTGAAGACTGGATGTGTTTGTGCGTGTCGTTGTATGAGTGGGCTCGTAGGTGAGTGGGTGCGCGTGTGAGGATGAGCTTGTGTGTGTCTGCGTGTCTGCGTGTGTGTGTGTGTGTGTGTGTGTGTGAGCGTGAGGCTTCCATGTGGAACATGTGCGTGCGCCTTGAAAATGTGCTGTAGCCTTGTGTGCTGGTTCTCATGCTGACGTCAATCGGCGCTGTGTTGGCTGGTTGCACGTTCTCGCGTCTGCAGACGAGCGCTGTGTCGTGCGATGTGCTGCTGAGCATCATGGAGCACGTCGTGCTGAAGAGCGGGAGATTTGCGTTCTTGTATGAAATATTCGGCATGGTGGGTGTTGTTTTCCCAAGAACATGTTGCTTGTGCGTGTGCGTGTGCGTGTGTGTGTGTGTGTGCGTGTGTGCGCGCGTGTGTGTGCTTGTGTTCTCTCTCCCTCTCTCCTCCTCCTCCTCCTCCTCCTCCTCCTCCTCCTCCTCCTTCTCCTCCTCCTCCTCCTTCTCTTTCTCCTTCCCTGTCTGCGCGTGTTTGCACTTGCACATCCGTGCGCTGCTGCTTGTTGCCCTGGGCTTCTCTTGGGGGTTTGCATGCTCACACCGCGCACTGCACCGCATATGTCTTGTTCCTCCCAACAGCAAGAATTTATCGATCCGTCTCTCTTGAAGGGCCAAGAAGGCTTCATCCTCTGCACGTTTGCCATTATCGGTACAGTTTGATGATGATGATGATGATGATGATGGCAATGAAGTGGCATGCGCATGTGGTGGTCGTACACGATGGTGCGTACATGCGTGCGTGCCAGCGACGTGCGCGCGCACATAGAGAATGCACCACTCTCTTATCCGTTGCCAGCTCATAAGATGCTCGTTGTCATTGCTTCCGTGCAACGTACAGTGGACCAGCTCACGCAAGAGCCCAACCCAGACCCAACACAACAACAACAACAACAACAACAACAACAACAACAACAACAACAACAACAACAACAACAACAACAACATGATGGCGTTGACGAGAGCAACACAGACGACGCGACCACCCACCAACACGGGGAAACAGATGAACAACAGGATGACCCGCCCATCAGAGATGAAGAAATCTGGACGCAACAAGCCAACAATGACAACGACGATGACGACAAGGAAGACAAGGAAGACAAGAAAGACAAGGAAGACGCGCCAACAGCCGACAACCAGTAGTCGAGCGCCTCTTTGTCTGTCTGTCTGTTGCTTGGCTTGAATGTTATGTGCTCCATAAACAACTTTCTACAACGGCGACCCACACAAACACCACAACAACAACAGCACACCACTCTGCTCTTGCCTGTTAGTTTGCTGTTCCAACACAACGACGAAGATGGCTGACGGGGAGACTGGTTATGTTGGCTGGGTTGACGGCGAAGGGTCCCGGATCATTGTGCCGGCTGCTTCAATGAAGTGCATTATCAAGCGCGAGGATGGCACGTTCTTCGTGTCATGCCGGGACAACATCAAGGACCAGGATGTCAAGGAGCTGAACGTCTTCAAGAGCCTGGAGGATGCATACGTTTGGATGACACACTGATCCGTCCTAGTTTCTATTGTGGATCATATGCTCCTCACAACTCAAGCGAAGGTGCACAAGTGAGCGAGCGTTCGAACGCTTGCGCCTCCATATACATTGAAACCCCTCCCGCTCTTCCCCTCTTCTTGACCCATGATCGTGTCCCTTTGGCTCACACATGCAACACCTTGGTTGTCCTTCCTATTCCCTCCTTTGCTTGTGGCCTCACTCAGGTGTAATCAGAACCGGGTTTTCGCACCCAAGCCTTCCTCTCTTCCTTTGTTTTCTTTCTTCAATCACATCGATTGGCTCGCTCGTTTGTTTCCCTTGTTGCATCGGCACATCTTGCTTGCTTGACCGATGCGGTCGTGGTTGTGCGTGTGCACGTGCGTGTGTGTGTGTGTGGTTTTGCACATACTCCAAGTACAAACACCCGACTCGACACATCAGCCCGGCTGACTCAGTTAGCAGTCGTGTGTGTGTGTGTTTGTGTCTGCTGTGCTTTGTATTCCATGCACGACGTAGCTGGGAGGCGCATAGAAGGCGAGCAGCGACGTGTTGTATAGCAGCCGAGAGACGAAGAGTACACTGGTAAAGCTCAAGCAACGAGAGAGAGAGAGAGAGAGAAAAGAACGAGGAGGGACGCAAGGGGATCGGGTGGCAACTCCACCCTTGCTACACTACAGCAGGGACACCCACGGCACAAAACAAGTCAGGCTACCTCACAAACATGCGTTGTGGGGAAGCACACAATACAACCACGCGCTGTGCACATCGCGAGCAAGGGTTTGATGATATGTACAGAGCTGCACGGCGCGAGGACAATAGGAGAGGGAATGAAGAGGGGTATCGCGGGTGTGTTGAGGTGCAACCGGGTGCAGTTGTCACGAACATGAGCACGATCACATGTCGAAGACACGGAGTCTTGTTTTTTCTAACAACAACATCAACAACAACAACAACAACAACAACAACAACAACAACAACAACAACAACAACAACAACAACAACAACAACAACAACAACAACAACAACAACAACAACAACAACAACAACAACACGGATGCCGAGGCAACAACAGAAACAACAGTGGTCCCAAGAACAAGGGCCACACACACACACACACACACACACACACACACACACACACACACACACACACACACACACACACACACGCGCGCGCGCGCGCGCGCGCGCGCGCGCGCGCTGGTTACTTGGGCAGCTCAGTTTTGCTGCTGCTGTTGCTGTCCTGGGGAGCTGGGTAGTTGAGACGGCAGTGATTATAGAGGAACACGCCAAAGACAACCGTCACCATACCCGCGCCGCTGAGGAAGGAGATTTCGTTACCAAACCAGAGAATGGAGAGGAAGATGAGGAGGGCGCGCTTGACGGTGTTGGCGACGCTCTGGGAGACCGGGGTGAGCAGGCTCATGGTGAAGTACGCGGTGACGCTCTGCAAGTGGTAGAACACGGCGTCGATGAGGATCATGATCCAGATGTTCCCGGGGATGCTGGCGGACTTGAGCTCCGGCGCCAGCGTGTAGAGAAGCACGGGGAGTTGCAAGATGGCCGCTGCGGCGCTGGTGTAGAACTGCAGCTGCACCGGCGTCATGCTCTTGAGCAAGTGCTTGCTGAAGACGTTCTGGATGCAGTCGATGACATTGTTGGCGACGGCGGCCAGAAAGCCGATGGTGTTGAAGGAGAGCTCCGTTGCACTGCACAGCGCGAGGCCGAGCATGACCGGCAGCAGGGAGACGTTGACTTGCCACGACGTGCGCTGCCGCAGGATGACCTGGGCAAAGATGACGGTGAAGAAGGGCGCGCTGCTCTTGATGGTTTCTGTGAAGCTGACGGCGACGTTTGCCAGGGAGATCAAGCCAAAGAGCACGGTCAGGCCGCGCATGACGCCGACGAAGATCATGTCCCGCCAGAACGTGTTGTAGGGGCGCACGGCGCTTGTAATCTCGTTTGGCTTGGGCGAGGTGCGTGTGCCGAGCACATGCGCAATGGCGGAGGGGCCGTACACCTTGGCGGCGCCCAGCACGGCGGTCATGATCATCTGCGTGATGCCGAGCACATACTTGTTCCCGCCCTCGGACGACAGGATGATCTTGTTCATGAACAGCGTGATGAGGCTGCAGAAGTACCACGAGCCCATCCAGAACAGCAGCGGCAAGCTGAAGCTGTCGTCCTTGGTGCCGCCGCCGCCACTACTGCTGCCACTGCCTCCTCCCCTGCTGCGCGCCACTTTGATGCCGGGCGGCGGTTGCGGCATGCTGGCCAGCGCAGCACTGCTCAAGCCACCCTGTTGCTGGTGGTGGTGGTGATGGTACTGATGGTGGTGATGGTGCGGCATCGGCACTGTCGCAGTCGCCGTCGCCGAGGAAGGCAAGGAGGACATGGTGGCAAGTCGTGCTGGAGTGGTGGCGGTGGCTGGAGTAGTTAGTTGCCTTGCGATGGGCCGATGCGGCGGCGTCGTGGGTGGCGGGAAGGCAAAGGCACAGCAAAGCAAAGCACTGTGCGTGAGTTTTGTGGGCGGAACCACGCAGCAGAAAAACGACTAAGAGCGTTGTTGTTGTTGTGCTTGTGACAACACACTCTTGTTTGCTTGGCTTCGCTTCTTGTTCTTATTCTGCTCTCTCTCTCTCTCTCTCTCTCTCTCTCTCTCTCTCTCCGTATATCCACTTGTACTGGTGTCTTGTATTGGAACAGACACACAGCAGCAGAGAAGAGAAGAGAGGTGTGGGGGGAAACGAAGAAAAAAGAGACAATCAATCATCATGCCACCACTCGTCCAATCCATCCATTGTTAAGCGAGCAAGCAAGAAGCGAGCCAGCCAACACGATCCCATCCATGGTCAAGCTACCAAATGCAACGAGAAACGACGCTAGAAGAAACCAAGAGACATCGAAACGGGGCAGTCACACACAAGAGGGAGGAGAAAAAAGGCAGGGGAAGAGGGACGCGAGCATAACAGGAGGAAGAGGTGTTGTGTTGGTTGAGGGCATGTAAGGGGAGTAGGTGGGTGGGGTGGAGCTGCTTAGTAGCGGTAGTGCTCGGGCTTGAAGGGGCCCTCAGAGGGGATGCCGAGGTACTCAGACTGGTCCGCGGAGAGCTTGGTGAGCTTGACGCCAAGCTTGTCGAGGTGGGAGGCGGCGACCTCCTCGTCGAGCTTCTTGGGGAGCACGTGCACGTTGAGGGGGTACTTGTTGGTGTTGGTCCAGAGCTCAATCTGGGCGAGGACCTGGTTGGTGAAGGAGTTGGACATGACAAAGCTGGGGTGGCCCGTGGCGCAGCCAAGGTTGACGAGGCGGCCCTCGGCGAGGAGGATGATGTGGCGGCCGCTGGCCATCTCGTAGCGGTCGACCTGGGGCTTGATGTTCATGACAGACTTGGCGTTGGCCTTGACCCACGCAACGTCAATCTCGCAGTCAAAGTGGCCAATGTTGCAGACAATGGCGTCGTCCTTCATCTGCTCAAAGTGCTCGGGGCGGAGGATGCCCTTGCAGCCCGTGGCGGTGACGAAGATCATGGCCTCCTTGCACGCCTCCTCCATGGTGGTAACCTCGTAGCCCTCCATGGCAGCCTGCAGTGCGTTGATGGGGTCAATCTCTGTGATGAGGACGCGGGCACCCATGCCGCGGAGGGACTGGGCGCAGCCCTTGCCGACATCGCCGTAGCCGGCGACAACGGCGGTCTTGCCGGCAATCATGACGTCCGTGGCGCGCTTGAGGCCGTCGAGGAGCGACTCGCGGCAGCCGTACAGGTTGTCAAACTTGCTCTTGGTGACAGAGTCGTTGACGTTGATGGCGGGGACCTTGAGGACGCCCTTCTCCATCATCTTGTAGAGGTTGTGCACGCCGGTGGTGGTCTCCTCGGAGACGCCCTTGATGCCGTCGAGGTACTGGGGGAACTTCTCGTGGACGAGGTTGGTGAGGTCACCACCGTCGTCCAGGATCATGTTGAGTGGCTGGCCGTCGGGGAAGACGAGCGTCTGCTCGATGCACCAGAGGTACTCCTCGTCGGTCTCGCCCTTCCAGGCGTAGACGGGGACGCCCGTGGCGGCGATGGCGGCGGCGGCCTCGTCCTGGGTGGAGAAGATGTTGCAGGAGGACCACTGCACCTGGGCGCCGAGCGCGGTGAGCGTCTCAATGAGGACGGCCGTCTGGGTCGTCATGTGCAGGCAGCCAGCGATGCGGGCGCCCTTGAGGGGCTGGGAGGGGCCGTACTTGGCGCGAAGGTTCATCAGGCCAGGCATCTCGTTCTCAGAGAGCATGATGTCCTTGCGGCCGAGCTCGGCGAGCTCAATGTTGGCTGATCAGAGAGATGGGGTTGTTGTTGTTGTTGGCAGGGGGGTGTTTCATCGAGTGGGTAAGTGAGTGAGAGGGTGAGTCGAAGGTTGAAGGCATTGAAGACAATTGAAGACATTGGAGAGAACCCGCCAGCAAACAAGCACACAACAAAAGAGATTGGTGGCAGTGAACGACACACTGATGCACGTGACAAAGAGTTGATTTTGATTTCATGACCACTGCGCGTGCACGCAAAGTTCTCGCCGCGATCTCAACACGGCGAGCTAGAGGAGGGCACGGTGGCAGGGCGGGTTGCCTTTGTCACTCACCAACTTTGTACGCGGGCTTGGCAGACATGTCGGCGGTGTTGGGTGGAGGTGAGCTGGAAAGGTGTCGACAAGCGTGGATTCAGAAAGGGTGGTGGATTTGGGCTGCGGAGAAATGGCGCTGCTGTAAGCACGTGTGGCTGGCTTGTGGTGCGGGAGTTGTGAAAGCAAGCGGAAGAAGAGAAATGGTTGGAGATATAGCGATGTTTCTGGTAAACGAAGATTGCAAGAAGCATGAGCAACAATTTGGCAAGGGCAAGTTTGCCTTCTTTGCGAAGACAAACTTGCCATTGCCAAATCGCAGAAACCGTCGAGGAGGCGGAAGTTGGAACGAGATGGCGGTGGGTTGTGTTGTGTTGTGTATGCTTGTGTGCTTGGGCTGTGTTGTGTTGTGTACGCTTGTGTGCGTGTGCTTGTGTTTGTTGTGTATGCTTGTGTGGTGTACGCTTGTGTTGTGTTGTGTGGTGTTGTGTTGTGTGTACACCACCTGCACCCTTTGCACCACCTGCACCCTTTGCACCACCTGCACCCTTTGCACCACCTGCACCTTGTGTACGTAGCTGGCCTTTGCTGACGCATCTGTTTTCGTCGTTGCAGGACGATCGCTTGGCGTGGTTTCGCAAGAAACGGCGATTGGTGGACTTGGTGGACAAGGCGTGGGAGAAGGACACCCTGCCGTATGCAAGTGCGTGCGTGTGTGTGTGTGTCGTTATGTGTGGTTGTGTTGTGTGTGATGTGAGCATATGTGTTTGTGTTGTGTTGTGTATTCTGTGTCACATCACGGCTGATGCTGGGGTTGAATAGAGTGGTCGTGTGCATTGTACGATGATCAGTGTGCGGTTGCCCAGCCCAGAGCAGTTGCACCATCACTCATGCAGCTGCACCGGTGACCCATCTCTCCCCCCCCCCCGCATTGCATTTACAGGGGTCGACGTGCCCAAGGAGCTGGAGGAGCAGCCCAACGAAACATACGGTGGGCCCATCAACCAGTGTGTGTGTGTGTGTGTTGCTTGAGCTGCGCTATTTGCGGGGCTGTTGGCACGGCCTGCGAGCGAGCCCACAACGCACACCTACACACACACGCGCGCACTCTCTCACGCACACACACGCACACGCACACACGCATGTACGTACATACATACACACGCACACACGCACACGCACACACACGCACGCGTCCTGCGCTGGACACACACACACACACTCTCTCTCTCTCTCACCCTCGCACACACGCACGTCCTGCGCTGGACACAGCTCGGTTCTTGAGGGACACACCTGACGAGGCACCACCAAACCCAGACCAGTGGAACGAGCCTGGCGTTCATGGCCACCTGCCGGAGATGACAAAGGCTGCAGAGCAATCCCAGTCACAGTCGGCCGATCCAAGATAATCCACCTCCGATACAGGCCGCGGCCGGCTTTCCTGTCCCTGCTTTTCTGTTTGGGTGTATCGGCTGCTCGCCATCGTGCTGCTGGCTCCACATATGCACTGGTGCACCGATTGCGCTGTCTACCTGGTGGCTTCACAAGGTTGGCCACTGTGCTGGTGTGCTGGTGCACTGTGATATGGTGCGGTGCGATGTGGTGTGATGGCATACTCGACCCCTGCCTGCGCTTTGTTGCTTTTGTTTAATAAACGCCTTTAACTCTTAGTTTGCTTTGTGGTCGCTTATCTCCCCCGGTCACACGCGCAACTTTACCCTCTGCACTTTGACACGCACGCACACACACACACACACATACATACATACATACATACATACATACATACATACATACATACATACATACATACATACATACATACATACATACATACATACATACATACATACGTACGTACATACACACATACATACATACATACACATACACACACTGACCAGACCAGTTTTGTGCATGATGCATGTCTTCACTACCCCTCACCACCTCTGCCTCTGCCTAACGCCGATCGTGGAGGACGGCGTCTGCGTTCTCAGGGCACACGAGGCCATACTTGACCAGGTTGCGCGTGAAGATGCGCCTTGCCTCCGTGTACAGCAACCAGTCGAGTGGATCGTCCGCGATGGTGAACATGGGTTCTTCTTCAGCGGCGTCCTCGCTGTCATCGTCATCCTCTTCACCGCCGTTGGGCGTCATGGTGTCGTTGGCGCGGCGTCTTTGCCGGTTGCCAAGGTTGCCTGTCGTTTCGCGGACGTTGTGGAATGCGTGTTCGACCAGCCGCCCACCGAACATGCGATGGAAGAGACACACGCTCTCTGTCCAGCTGTCCGTGATGCCCACAAACACAAAGTGCGTACGCAGTCGGTGTAGGGCCAGCTTCACGTGCATGTGCGTCACCTCCACGTCCTCCCCGCACTTGTAGCCAGCCATCATCTTCACCTGGCAGTGCTTGACGCCCGGGAAGTTCACAAAGTCGCGCGGCGTCTTCACGGTGCGTAGCATGTCCAGTCGCCGTTGAGCGCGGACGCCGACCGCGTGCAACCCGTTCATGTACGCGCTGCGCAGGCGTTCGCGCGGGTCCCGGAACATTGCCACATACACAGAGGTGGTGCGGGACATGTCCCCTTGGGGCAGCGAGCGGTGGCCCACGCGAGGCCTGCGAAAGAGCCTCAAATCACAGCTCACATCTTCCCTTCTCTTCAGCTCCTCTTCGAACTGCGGCAGCGCGAAGCCCTGGTTCTCGTGCCTCGCAGGCGTGGGCAGCATCTCTGCGCGGTTGTTTCGTGCATGGGGGGGTGGGGGTGTTTGAGCATGTTGTGAGAACAATCGCCGTTTGCGGCAGCAGCTTGGAGGAGGGACTGGGAGGGGGGGGGCAAGATCGGCGGGTGGACAGATAGACGGGTAGGTGGTTGAGCTGGTACGCGGGCTGGCAGGGGCAGAGTAGAACACAGCAGATTGGCCGACAAACAACCAGACATTCATTCAAGCACACACGCACACATGAATGAAAGCACCTGGCGTCAGCCCCGAGCAAACATAGTCGTAGAGGACGAGGGCGAAGGATGTGCCCGTCTTCGGGAAGTGCAGCCAGCGAAATCGCTGCGTGATCGGCTTTGGCTGCTCAATAGTGGCCGGGTTGAAGCACTGAACACGCGAGCATCGCCCTGATTGTGGTTCGCCCACTCCATCGCCACCCGGCAACAGCGCCGCGGAGGTCAGCACCGTTGCCACACACAGCAGCATCAGACCAACGGCCACCCATTGCGTGGGGTCGAAAGCTTGTACGCCTCGTCGTCGTCTCATGGCCACAGCACAAGCAAGCAAAAAGGCGCCCATAAACGCAAAGAAGGGGCTGTACTGGCAGGGACTTCATGATGATTTTGAATGAGTGCTGTGGTAAGTTCGCTGTCGCTGACACTAGCATGCGCGTCGCTGCTTGACCTGCACGGTTGCTTTGATAAACACACCGACTGTGTGTGTGTGTGTATGTCTGTGTGACTCTGTGTGGCTCTTCCTACGACCGTCACTCCTTCCTCCCACCTCCGTACACACACCCTCCTTTATGCTTGACCTCTTTACTTCCTTGTCTGAGTTGAATGGCACAGTAGGACACGCATGCACGAAACACACATGCGCACGCACGGCAGGGCGCGGCTATGCGTCCTGCAGCTGCATCCCGATGACATTGTGCCGTTGCCTAGCTACTGTCAAGAACTGCAATGGCAAAGCGACGAGGGCAAGGCAAGGGGCAGAACAGCACCATGAGAGAGATGCGTGCGCGCACACAGACACACAGACACACAGACACAGACACACAGACACAGACACACAGACACACACACACACACACACACACACACACACACACGTCGCGCACAAAACACCAAGCGCAGAAGCACAAGGACGAGCAAGAAATGGTACAAACCTGGTGTATCTGCGCTGCATAGCGGCGCAGCAGAACGCCCAACACAACCCACACCGCGGTCACGGCCTGCAGCCACCGATACAAAATCGCACACTGCAGAACACAAAGGCAGGCGCACACGATGAGTCTGGTGGTCGGAGCAGGGCAGCCATGCACCAAGGCAATCCAATCACAGCAACACAGACACATGGACAGGCAGGCAGACGTGCAAGGGGTGACACACACACACACACACACACACACACACACACATACCACGTGGCCGGGGACGCCAAAGAGAGGAACGACACCAAAGGCCAATGCGTGCACGGCTAGCTGGACAGCCGCCAGGTACAAAAGGAATGGGAGCCCATCTGCGAAATGCACAAGCAACATGCGACCAATAACGACGATGACGACGGTGTGTGTATATGTGGGT